TTCAAAGGCAACTCTCAAAAACATGTTTTATTTCTCTCTCTAGGTTTGCTCAGGCCCAGGTGTTTTTCAGTGGGAACTTCTACCGTACTAAGAGATTTTAACCAAATTCCTGGTTTAATGATGGAGATGAAGCCAGAGAAAAGGAACTAGAAGGAAATTTTCCTCATGTAAAAGACAGTTTCTTTTCTGACAGATGGTAGAAATAAGGCTAAAGGAAATACAGATGAGATAATAATATCTGATAGTAATAAAATGTATAATCTAATACCACCTTCCCATTTGCTTTGACACTCTACTGTACTGTCTACTACTGATTGCTACTTTCTATCATACCAGAAGAATAGGCTGGAAATGAGCTACATCAAAATTGCAACCATGGCAATACCTTAACCAAAGTATCATCCCAGTTACTTACCACTTCTCAGTGTTTCTTGCTGTGGAAAGTAAGTTGTTGAGCCCTACTGCATGCTATGACCACTTGGAAGCAAGGGACAGGAAAAATGGTAAACACAGGATTTGCATAAACAATGCATTTATTGTAAATTTGCTACTATAACCACAAAGGCTTTAATTAGACACTCACAGAAATCAGAACTGGCCTCTGATTATCTCTGTGGGTAGAAAAAGATGCATGCCTACCAAACCCAGAGAAATGCAAGTGTATTATTTTTATTCTTGTAATTTTGCAGTTTCACATAGGCCACTCTACATTGTTTTACTGATGTCTGGATGCCTGCTCAGTATAAGCTGGTTAATGATGATAAGCAGACAGGAACTAATGAGAATCTTGCTGCATTTAATTGCACCAAAATGCAAGCATGTACATGTCTTGAGGGGGTTGAAGAACAAAACACCAGGAGCTATCACACTTCAAAAGTTTATTTCCATTTCTTAAGTTAGTATTGGGTCGAAGAATTCAAAGTTATCCACTCCTACTCGTTAAGTTTTGTCACATCTGAAAGGTGTTAAGGTATCTAGCCCTGTCCAGAAAGCAGCAGCTTTGCAGGAAGAAGATGCCAGTGATGTATAATTACTCAACTATCACATAACTTGTGCTTTATGTTAATTTCTAGTCACCACCTACCTCAGAACAAGACTGGGAGTAGGAAAGTAAGTAAAACTCTGGATTATTTTCAAAAGCAGAACAGATTATACTAAATACTAATGAAACATGCAAGGCATTAGGCAGCCACTAGCTATACACAGGGAATATGGCACCACCCAGTGGGGACAGCACTACATGAAATATCTGCATTAAGAAAACCATGAAGAAATGAAACTCCCCAGTTTGCTGGGGTTTTTGTTTGGCTATGGTTTATTTGTTTGTTTGTTTGTTTGTTTGTTTTAATAACAGAACTGCTACCTATTTTAGGGATCTGCAGATTAGCTTTGGAGAAAAGGAAAAAATGGATCTGTTACAGAAATGAATATTGTATCCAACGGTACTTCTCAGAATAGCCTCAAAAGAATTTTTACTTTGCATATCTTGCTAAGGCCTAGCCCCAAGTAATTTCTGCTCTGTTATAATCTTTCCATTGCAAATGGCAACTATACCTTACCTTCCCATTCAGCCTTGCAAGAATCTACTCTTTTAAATTAAGAAATTATACCTGTTTTGTTCAAAGAGCTGAGGCCAAAAGATTGCTTTAACACTTTAAAAATGAAATTTTAATGTGCTTAATTATCACTGATGTGCTCAACCAACTGGGCGCTAAACCCTTGAAACTTATTATCAGAATTTATTTCTGATTGTATTACAATGATGTGAATACCTTTATTACTACATAAATGTACCAATCTTTTGGTTTACACAAACAGGCTCACAGGAGTGTGAACTGGAAACGTTGGAAAGCCAACATACCACAGGATGAATAACATAATAATTTCTAAATTGCACTGTATTGTCTTGCAAACAATACACCTCCTTTTCTCTCCTCCCTCCCCAAAATCAGAACTAGAGATGGGAGTTTTTTGGAAGGATGAAGGATCTGCTCACCTGAACAAATTACTAGAACATCATCTCATCCTGCTTTTGAGCTTTCACTGGTGAGACTGCATCTGTCAAGCTTCAAGCAAGCTCCATCTACACCAAATTAAGAGCTACATGAAAATCACAGAACAACAAACTGGTTTGGGTTGGAAGCCTTAAAGATCATCCAGTTCCAAGCCTCCCACCTCTTCCCCGGCAGGGACATTTTCAGTAGACCAAGTTGCTCAGAGCCCCATCCAACCTGGCCTTCAATACTTCAAGGAAGGGGCATCCACAATTTATCTGGGGAACAAAAGATCAACATTTTACAATACAAGCTTATGTATGTACTACAAGCTTAAGTAGGTTTTTATTTAATTTATTTTTCCCCTTCCCAAAAATATAGTGTCAGCAGATTGTATTCTACCATCTCAAAATAAAGTTTGGGGGAAACTTCTAGTAAATTCCCTGCCCTTTAATACAACACGTTTCTTGATTAGTACCTGCAGTTTATTTAGATGAAAGTAAGGGGAAAAAGGCACAGATGAGTGTTCCATCATAAACTCACAAAAACAAATTCAAATGTAAGTTTCATTTTATATTTATTTAGTTTTGACAGTAGGCACAAAATACTTTTAGTTTCCAAGCTGAGAGATGCCAAGTCCAGTTTTGAAGAATCAACATCAAAAACAAAGTACACAGACACACAGGTGCAGCTGGGGGGAAAAAACGTACATACACGAATTTAGTTTCTTTCTAAACCTATTCCCAGATTCTCAGTTGGTTATGTTGAGCCAGAAATGCTCAATGGCTTTAGGTGACAGGTCCTGGGTGCAGACCAGCAACGTCTCCCTGGGACAGTAGGGGCAAGAATCTGATCCCTCAGGAGTACAGGGGAGTCTCAGCTCCCACCTCCTTCTCCTAGGGAGGGGAACTTGTTCCATCCAGGCACAAGTAACAACCCGGGGAATCTTGTACAGGCCAAGCCTTGCCTGAAACCTTCCTACCAAAAGCCATACAACATTGGCCTGTGACTTTGACTCTTCTAGCCCACATAAATAACTACCCCCACTTTTATCTTTCAGTCTCCCCACTGCACTGGAATGGCTGCAATTTGTACTCAAAATATTTGATATGGTATTGTATTATCATAAAAACAATATGCACTGGCAGTTGAATTCTCATACATATACATGTTGTAATAAAAAAACTGAAGTAATTTTCTTAAATACAGCACATGATTTCAACATCCAATATATGTAAACATCTGACATCCATAAGTGGGCTAGTTTCTCTGGTTACAGATGAATGCCTCAACACATAAACAAGTATCATTCTGCACTTTCCTCTATCCCTCATAAACATGTCTTCAAAACTGCAGATGTTCTGCAAGTGCTGAGTGTTTCCCAAAGCACATTTTAATTCTAAACATGCAGGATACTAAAGAGACAATGCACAGCATTTGTTTAGCACTAAAAAAATTGTTCTTTTATTTAAGAAGGAAATTGTCTTTTCAAGTTGTGATTTTTATAAGAATAAGCAGATGACAGCCAAAACTTTCATTGATCAAGAATTAAAAAAACCCACAAAAATCAAAAAACGTTAAACCAAATTAGATTATGAAGAACTGCAAGATTCCTGCTATTGGATAGGAAAACATCCTTAGGCTGCCTTCATGTAATACATGAAGATAATAAATTTCAAGGTTTAAGCAAATTTGTGCTTTCCTGTAAATATCAATTGAAGAAAAATTATTGATAAGAATGACTAATTAAAAAATTCTTCTGCATTTGGATGATATGCCCACTTGCTTTCTATCATTCCAGCTAAGCACTGAGCTCAAACTCCTGAGCATTCACAATGACAAGAACAAAATGACACCCAGGTTAATCCTAAAACCACAAATCTGCCAAAACACAGTATTACTCTGACTGCATTTCCTAAATATGCTCCCTGGAACAGACAATAATTTGAGCTACCACTATTTCCAAACCAGACAGTAACTATCAACCTAAAAATTGCCGATTCTCTGTCGTTATTCTCTATTATTTCTATAGAATTCTAATTATTTCTACTATTATTTATACATTCTGTGTGGTGAGGACTGCTTTATATACTAGTATCATTGTCATATTATGTACAACTTGGCACCTTCAAATTCTGCTTCCTTGGACAGATGTAAAGATTTTTATTCCATAAATTCACTTTTCCTGCAATTCTGGAAAAGAAAAACATGGTTAAAACAGGAAGAATATGCTATTTGTTTTACCTGCTAAATAAAACAATTACTATTGTATGATGTATATAGTCCTTCATGATGTGAACTTCTGTGAATGTAGCATTAACACGAAGTCTTTTATTAGCATGAAGAAGAACAAACAAATGCAACAGTTATGACAACATGCATGTTTTAGTCTACATGACAGAAAGGCACTTCAGAAGCGTGGTATGTATTCTTAAAATGGGTGAAAACCAACTGCTCTACAATGTGTTATTTTGGTACATGGATTATTATGCTGTGAGTTAAAAAAATACCATCACAAATTACCAAGTGATCTGTCTTCCTTTCACGTGGTCAGATCCATTCCTTAGTAACAGGAGGTATATTTAGAGGTTTATTTGACTTAGCAGACAATCTGAGTGTTCTCTTGTACTTGAAATACTTAAATATACTAAATCAGCACATGGAAACTGACTAGAGTTATTCAACATTTGAAAACACATAGCAGGAGGAAAACAAGGTGGAAGTACTACTGAACCAGCAAGAAGTCTGGAAAAGCTGTAACTGAACTTCTCCCTGTTTTTCTTTAAGAAATCACAACAGCAAAATTTGTTTTGCTAGGCTCGTCCTAGCCTGAAAATGCCTTCATGACTCTTCACCTTAGCGAAATAAAATAACAACCCACACCACAGTGCGCACTAGGACATCCTGAATTCTTTACTTACGGGGAAAGAAAACAAAACGAAACATGGCAATGGATGCCTAAAAGGGGGGGAAAAAACGAAGCCGTCTCAAATAACCTTTACCAACCTAGAAAGGCCGCCTCCTTCGGCATTCACCCGCCTCCATCACTCGGTTAAAAAATATTTTTGTTTGCGAGAACCCAGGTCTCGCTGCCACGGCAGCCTGGGCGGCTCTACCTGCAAGGAGTGCTCAGGCCACCGCCGGGCCGGCTGTCGGCAGCTGCGAGCTCGGGCTCGGCCCCCGGCCCAGCGGG